AATAAAATTTAATGGAATAACTTAAGTACTGTATGAAGTATGAAGTAGTTGAGTATGAAGTAGTTGATATGAAAAAGCTTAAATACAATATAAATGGTCTAAATACTCAATAATAATTGATGCAAAGAGTTGTTTATAATCCTTAAACTATAGGCTTCAAGAACATTAAAAAGTGTTTTCAAAGCACAAACCTATTACTGTATTAAGAGTATGTCCATTTTTCAACTAGATTTTTTTTTGTAAATTGAAATAATTACTAGAATGAAAATGATATTATTTAATTAGAAATGCATGGTAAATTTTGCCTAAAACTATATAGATGTTTTTAGAAATGATACTGGTATTAATATTGAATGATTCATATTATTACATTTATTTAATTAGACCTTTAATAGCCCTTTAATTATTTAAATCCATAAAGCAATTACATTTTTAGTCTTTTAAATAAATATTCATCTCATATAGAGACAATCTTAAGATATATTTTCTGACTATGATAGAGATTTATGAATTACCTAGTTAGGTGTTTTTAATGAAGTTAAAAAGGCATCCTTTTCCTGGACATCAGTGTCAAAAGGTATCGTATATTATGCTTGTTTGCATGTTATTAAGTGTATTTTAAGCATATATCCAGTGAATGAACTCGACTAGAAAAAAAATCATTTTATGATAGTCTTGCAAGAAATCATCAGCTGTCAAAATTTAATAATCTATTTAAAATTTTTGTTTTAAAGTTTTCTGCTTTTATTCTTCTTTGTTTCATTAACTTATATGAAGCTCTTTGTTAAAATTCTAAGGAGACATTTGGTTAGGTAGAAATAATATTTTATCATGTGGAAGAAGATTAAAAAAGGAGACAGACTGCCCTGCAGCTGCAATCTTAACTTGCTTCTCCAATGTGTTTATACTGTGTATAACTTCCTCCTACTATTGCTGTCATAATTAAGTGAATAATGTATCTAAAACATTTACAGAATACTCAGTACTTGTCAAAGACCATGTACATGCTCAGTAAATCTCAATCTTGACAAGAAAGATGCATGAAATTCAGATATACTTGAGAAATCAGTCATTAAAATGTACATTCAGGAATAACACAGGCTTGACTGGCATCAAAATATCCATATGATTCCTGTGGTGTGTACAAAGGTCAAGACTGGAGTCAGAATACCTGAATTCTCATGGGAACTATTATTTAAATGCTATGAAATTTTAAGAAATCATAGAGCTGTCTTTACTGTAAAGCAAAGACCATAATATTACGCCTAAACCATAGGCTTAGAAAAATTAAATGGAATAACTTAAGTAATTTGTTATATGAATTCTGGTCATCCACTCTCAAAGTGAGAGGGTCACCTTCTGCAATGGGATTCTAAAACTAAGGCTGGATGTGGCATGGCCTATTTTGGTCTTGGTATTAAAAACCTGCTTGTATGTCAGGGTCAGCCTGAAGCCACAGATGCAGGGCAGGCAGGTGGAAAGAAAGAACATGATCAGAAAAGAGAGGTCTGAAAAGGGCAGGCAAGGTGAAATGTACAGGTTCGATAAATAATATGGAGAGATTGAGAAAGGCAAGGCTTTTTAAAGTCCATGAATAGAAAGAGAATGCTTTGGTGTACTATGATGGATCAGCCAATACACTCTAAAGCACAATTTAAATACAAGCCATAAATCTTAAATAGCATCCCTCACCCAGTGATATCTCAGGTAGACATTATTGTTCCCTTTAGAATTTTAGATGAAGCAACCACCATTTGCCCTCATCGATTCACTTCTATGAAAGACTCAGTATTTACCAGTGAAACTGGATGTAATCTTTTCCACATAGCGAGATTTCTTTAACTCGAGGCTCTGATTCCCTTGTGCATTAGCGCTAATGTCTCTTCAAGGGACTTAGGTTGTGATAGAATCAGAAGCAGCATTTGGTATGTTCCTTTCAGCTGATTCTGGTACATTTTTCATCATGGTGGCACTATCAGAATCTTTCCATATCCACCATATTTTCAGTTTGTGACTTTCTTTGGTGTCCTATTGCTGATCCTGATATTTTGACATTTTTTTCTTTTTTGGCTAAGTTGCATTTACATAATTTTTTTCTATCAGCATCTTTTCACTTAGGAACTTGAGGTAGATGGTCTTTTCCAAAGATTTGCATATGTATATCCCATCATTCCTATTCTTATGATATCATGTTAACTCCCTTTTCTTGACAGGTGACATTTCTTATTTCTATTCCTGGAACGGGAAGATTTTATAACTGCCTCAATTTATATATTATGATGAAAATAATATTATATAATTTATGAGCCTTCTATCTGCCTCTCTCCTGGACAAATATTTGAGGAACCCTGATTTGACATGTGAAAAACCTGGCTGTACTGAAACTCCCAATCACCTGAAGAGGCAACACAGTAATAGAAATGCCTGAGGAAATCCAGGTGATACATTCTCCAGATGTTCTGATGTATGCAGCATACCTTTAGAGGATTCCAGCTCACTCCCAGAGACACCTTAGTTAATGCTGTATACTGTAGAGATAAATTGTCCTGAGCAAAATAAACTTTTTTTTTAAAGCCACTAAGTTACTTGGCAATTTGTTATACTACCCTAATAAACTGGAAAGCAGTCTTAGAAGTCAATTGCTAGTTCTTCAAGGAGAGAAGATGTGTATGTGTCTCAAAATGATACTGTATTTTTCACTCCAATTTTTTTCTCTCTTAGGAGTCATAGAGGTAAAAGATCTAAGTACTCTCTTTAGTTTAATGTCTTACATGGATGTTGCATTATCTATCAATCTTACATCTAATCTTTTGCACTCTCTGTTCAATGACAGTCTATGGAGAAGTATCAACTCTGCATGTTTACATTTTCCATATGTTTCTTACAAAGTTAGTAGAATTTTTTTTCAGTAGCACTGATATATAAAATACTTCCAGGTAAATCATTTTGGCCTGAACATAAAGTCAATTTGTCTAATTATTATAGAAAACATCATCATAGCTAAAAGAATAGCATGTATTTAATGAGATGATATGTTTACCATGACATGCATTTTTTTTTCCTGAATAAGATTCAGTTTGGGGCATTTAATAATTGGTATTCTTACAAGCTCTATACGCTGCAATTGTATAATTCTGACCAAATTCCAAAACTTATATCTGAAATGAATGTTAATTTGGTTGGCAATATAAATGCCATTTATTAAATAATGAACAATTAAAACAGTTCAAAATTATGTGTTCAACAGTGCTTTTTGTTTTCTCAGTATTTTGTGGTTGTATTATAGCATTATTATTTATGTAAATCTCTAAAATATATTTATATATTTTATTTTTTTTCAGGGGAGTACCAGAGATTGGACTCAGGGGCACTCAAATACTGAGCCACATCCCCAACCCTATTTTGTATTTTATTTAAAGACCAGGTCTCACTGAATTGCTTAGCACCTCATGGTTGTTGAGGCTGGCTTTGAACTTGAGATCCTCTTGTTTGGGCCTCCTAGACTGCTGGGATTACAGGTGTTTGCCACCACACAGGGTTATACTTATATATTTTAATAGATAAAATATTCAATTATCGTTCTCTCAGCTAATATACTGTGGTATGGGGCTTTGACAAATTGGCCAAATTGAGTGAAGAATTGACTTATGGTAATATAATTGTGTACAGTTATCCCAGGTAAATTTTGATTTAGGGTCAGCTATTTGGTGTTAGCTAAACTGAGCATAGAGTCTTAGGATATACTGTATCTTTGTATTTGGACAAAGGTAGATTTCTTTGGAGGAAGAAGTCAGCATAAGTTGAACAGATTCATACTACAGAGGAGAAAATCAATTATTTCTCTTATTTAAGCTATGATGAATAGGTAATACTGTATTAGACTCTTGAAAATCCACTTGAAGAAAGATACAAAGTAAATGACACTGTAAAATATTTTTTCGTGGTTCAAATTGTTCAAAAAATTTTCTACGAAATATTTTTTAGTTTCAATGTCAGGAAAAATCATTTGCTATACGCTTCAGTGGTAATATGGTAGAAATACTATAGTATATTTCTTAACCTTAAAACATGTTTGAGTCTGTTTACCTGTCTTCAATTTATCTATGTTATTTGGCTCATCTATGTGTCTATGTATATATGTATGTCTATGCATTCATCTATCATCTGTCTTTAGGGTTGATGTTAATAAGAGAATTCCTTTATATACAATTAAACAAGTGGTTTAATCCAATATTTATTCATTTATTTTTAAAAAATACGTTTTCCTGAGGAAAATATTTGTAGTACACAGAATTTAAAAAAATGTTAGTGTCAAGAATGTATCAAGATATTATACAAATCAATAAGAATAATGTAAGCAGCTCAAGAAAAAAAAATTGCATAGAGAAGTACCTAAAAATGAAGGAAATAGGGCCAATAATAAATGAAGAGATGGTCAACCTTATTGTTTCAATGTCAGGAAAAATCATTTGCTGAAAAATCATGTGACATTGAAACTAATCATATACACATGGGCTGGTGTTATTATGGCTCAGCAGTAGAGCACTCACCTAGCAAGTGTGAGACCCTAGGTTCGATTCTCATAACTTAAAAAAAAAAAAATCAATAAATAAAGGTGTGTCCAACTACAACTAAAAAATAAATATAACAAAGTCATATACACAAAAGGCAAAATATTGTACCATCTTTCATTAGCAAAAACAATTATAAACGTGAAAAATGGCAGTATTTAGAAGGATCTTGACGACTGGGATCCACATCTTGTGAGTATGAAAATGGTATAGCCACTTGATGTCTGGGTGCTACACTGTGTCATGACCTCATAATTAAGAATTAATACATGCTGAGAGGACATAAGCGACACGTGGTGGAGCCTCCAGCCCGCCCCCGCGCGCCTTCCCTTCTTTTCCTCTGTGACACGCGGCAGCCCTGGCAACCAGCATTTGCACACTCACCCGCGTGCTCCAGCCCCACAAGTCCTCCCGCAGCTGGCCCCGAAGATGGCAGCTATCAAACTCCTCTCCTGCGGGCTACGGCTCTATGCCTCCACCCGCAGCAGCTCGGGAGGCGCCTGGTCCAAGGGAAGTGTGAGCTACTTCTCTATCAGTACTCGTCGCCACACCAAATTTTATACAGATCCAGTAGAAGCTGTCAAAGATATCTCTGATGGGGCAACGGTTCTGATTGGTGGCTTTGGGCTCTGCGGAATTCCAGAGAATCTTATAGGAGCTTTATTAAAGACTAGAGCTAAAGGATTAACTGCAGTCAGCAATAGTGCAGGGGTTAGTAACTTTGGAGTGGGTCTTCTACTTCGATCCAAGCAAATCAAACGCATGGTCGCTTCATACGTCGGAGAAAATGCCGACTTTGAACGGCAGTTTTTATCTGGTGAATTAGAAGTGGAGCTGACACCTCAGGGCACCCTTGCAGAGAAAATTCGTGCCGGTGGTGCTGGAGTTCCTGCGTTTTACACCCGCACAGGGTACGGGACCCTGGTTCAAGAAGGGGGAGCACCCATCAAATACAACAAAGATGGCAGCATCGCTATTGCCAGTAAGCCCAGGGAGGTGAGAAAGTTTAATGGTCAGCACTTTATTTTGGAAGAAGCAATTACAGGGGATTTTGCTTTGGTGAAAGCCTGGAAAGCCGATCGAGCAGGAAACGTGATTTTCAGGAAAAGTGCGAGGAATTTCAACCAGCCGATGTGCAAAGCTGCAGAAACCACAGTGGTAGAGGTTGAAGAAATTGTGGATGTTGGATCATTTGCTCCAGAAGACGTCCACATTCCTAAGATTTATGTCCATCGCCTTATAAAGGGAGAAAAATACGAGAAAAGAATTGAGCGTCTAACAATCCGGGAGGAAGGAGATGGAAAAATCAAATCTGGTAAACCTGGAAGTAATGTAAGGGAACGGATCATCAAACGAGCAGCTCTTGAATTTGAGGATGGCATGTACGCTAATTTGGGTATAGGAATCCCTCTTCTGGCCAGCAACTTCATCAGTCCAAATATAACTGTTCATCTTCACTGTGAAAATGGAGTCCTGGGTTTGGGTCCTTATCCATTTCAACATGAAGTTGATGCAGATCTAATCAATGCAGGCAAGGAAACAGTTACTGTTCTTCCGGGAGCCTCTTTTTTCTCCAGCGATGAGTCATTCGCAATGATTAGAGGGGGACATGTCAATCTAACAATGCTAGGAGCAATGCAGGTTTCCAAATATGGTGACCTGGCTAACTGGATGATACCTAGAAAGGTGGTGAAAGGAATGGGAGGTGCTATGGATTTAGTGTCCAGTGCCAAAACCAAAGTGGTGGTCACAATGAAGCATTCTGCAAAGGGAAATGCCCACAAAATCATGGATAAATGTACATTCCCCCTGACTGGCAAACAGTGTGTCAACCGCATCATTACAGAGAAGGCTGTGTTTGATGTGGACAGTAAGAAAGGGCTGACTCTGATTGAGCTCTGGGAAGGCTTGACAGTGGACGAAGTACAAAAGTGCACTGGGTGTGATTTTGCTGTTTCACCAAAACTCATGACAATGCAGCAAGTCACAACTTGAAATGTGGAGTAGACATTAAAATTTTAACAATTTTTGACTAGTTTTTGTCTAGTCACCTCAAGATTTATGCAGCCTTATAGATTTTGTTCTCTCAAGTGTACTATGATATTTTAATGAAAAACAAAAGGAAAACATTTATGATTATCTTATTTTCTAAGTACTTAGAAGGTTGTCTTTACCATTGGTGCTCACATTGGATGTATCTTTTTCATGTGTGCTATGCTAAGTTATATGCAGAATTTACTAAGATGGGCCCTAGGAAGAGTTTCATTTGATATGCTTTCCCTTATACCTAAATTATGGCTTAGTACTTATGAAAGAAAAATAATATATATGTGATTAGGAAGAATACCATCTTCATGATTGTTTTCCCTTCAGTCTCCTCTGATTTTTGCCTCCTGTCTGCCTATACCATCCTCCTTCCTCCCATCCTTCTTGTAGCTAAATAGATGCCGAAGAAAACAAGCAGGGATGTCTTTTGCAGGAGAAGTAACTTGTTTGTAAGAAAGACCAAAAGGTGTAGGATCTATTGCTGTTGATATACCATCAAGAAGCTGCCGTAATAGACAACCAACCATCCATCTGTGCTTTGCCAAAGGCTAAGCTAACTATGGGAAACGGGCTAGAAACCTAATTGATCTGCTTGGACAGTTTTCTCTGTTTTAAACAGTGTAGTATTCCTTTCTATCTAGTAGGATCCTTAAGATTACTTCCCTGTTACAGAGGCCCAGTGGACTACTTGCCATACTAGTGTCTGTTGTGTTCTGCTGCCTTTCCTATCCTCTACTATCCCCCCTCTCCTCCCCTCCCCTCCCCTCTTCTCTCTCTACCCCCTCTACTGTCATTCATTTCTCCCCCTTGTATTATTTTTCCCTTTCCCCTCACTTCCTCTTGTATGTACTTTTGTATAACCCTGAGGGTCTCCTTCCATTTCCATGCGATTTCCCTTCTCTCTCCCTTTCCCTCCCACCTCTCATCCCTGTTAAATGTTAATCTTCTTCTCCTGCTCTTCGTCCCTACTCTGTTCTTAGTTACTCTCCTTATATCAAAGAAGACATTTGGCATTTGTTTTTTAGGGATTGGCTAGCTTCACTTAGCATAATCTGCTCTAATGCCATCCATTTCCCTGTAAATTCTATGATTTTGTCATTTTTTAATGCAGAGTAATACTCCATTGTGTATAAATGCCACATTTTTTTTTATCCATTCGTCTATTGAAGGGCATCTAGGTTGGTTCCACAGTCTTGCTATTGTGAATTGTGCTGCTATGAACATCGATGTAGCAGTGTCCCTGTAGCATGCTCTTTTTAGGTCTTTAGGGAATAGACCGAGAAGGGGAATAGCTGGGTCAAATGGTGGCTCCATTCCCAGCTTTCCAAGAAATCTCCATACTGCTTTCCAAATTGGCTGCACCAATCTGCAGTCCCACCAGCAATGTACAAGTGTACCCTTTTCCCCACATCCTCGCCAGCACTTGTTGTTGTTTGACTTCTTAATGGCTGCCAATCTTACTGGAGTGAGATGGTATCTTAGGGTGGTTTTGATTTGCATTTCTCTGACAGCTAGAGATGTTGAGCATTTTTTCATGTACTTGTTGATTGACTGTATGTCCTCCTCTGAGAAGTGTCTGTTCAGGTCCTTGGCCCATTTGTTGATTGGGTTGTTTGTTCTCTTATTGTCTAATTTTTTGAGTTCTTTGTATACTCTGGATATTAGGGCTCTATCTGAAGTGTGAGGAGTAAAGATTTGTTCCCAGGGTGTAGGCTCCCTATTTACCTCTCTTATAGTTTCTTTTTCTGAGAAAAAACTTTTTAGTTTGATTAAGTCCCATTTGTTGATTCTAGTTATTAACTTTTGTGCTATGGGTGTCCTATTGAGGAATTTGGAGCCTGACCCCACTGTATGTAGATCGTAGCCAACTTTTTCTTCTATCAGACGGCGCATCTCTGATTTGATATCAAGCTCCTTGATCCATTTTGAATTCACTTTTATGCATGGCGAGAGAAAGGGATTCAGTTTCATTTTGTTGCATATGGATTTCCAGTTTTCCCAGCACCATTTGTTGAAGATGCTATCCTTCCTCCATTGCATGCTTTTAGCCCCTTTATCAAATATAAGAAAGTCGTAGTTTTGTGGATTGGTTTCTGTGTCCTCTATTCTGTACCATTGGTCCACCCGCCTGTTTTGGTACCAGTACCATGCTGTTTTTGTTACTATTGCTCTGTAATATAGTTTGAAGTCTGGTATCGCTATACCGCCTGATTCACACTTCCTGCTTAGCATTGTTTTTGCTATTCTGGGTCTTTTATTTTTCCATATGAATTTCATGATTGCTTTCTCTATTTCTACAAGAAATGCCGTTGGGATTTTGATTGGCATTGCATTAAACCTATAGAGAACTTTTGGTAATATCGCCATTTTGATGATGTTAGTTCTGCCTATCCATGAACAGGGTATATTTTTCCATCTTCTAAGATCTTCTTCTATTTCTCTCTTTAGGGTTCTGTAGTTTTCATTGTATAAGTCTTTCACCTCTTTTGTTAGGTTGATTCCCAAGTATTTTATTTTTTTTGAAGATATTGTGAATGGAGTGGTTGTCCTCATTTCCATTTCAGAGGATTTGTCGCTGATATACAGGAATGCCTTTGATTTATGCGTGTTGATTTTATATCCTGCCACTTTGCTGAATTCATTTATTAGCTCTAATAGTTTCTTTGTAGAGCCTTTTGGGTCTGCTAGGTATAGAATCATATCATCTGCAAATAGTGATAATTTAAGTTCTTCTTTTCCTATTTTTATGCCTTTAATTTCTTTCGTCTGTCTAATTGCTCTGGCCAATGTTTCGAGAACTATGTTGAACAGAAGTGGAGAGAGAGGGAATCCCTGTCTTGTTCCAGATTTTAGAGGGAATGCCTTCAGTTTCTCTCCATTCAGAATGATGCTAGCCTGAGGCTTAGCATAGATTGCTTTTACAATATTGAGGTATGTTCCTGTTATCCCTAGTTTTTCTAGAGTTTTGAACATAAAGGGATGCTGTACTTTGTCGAATGCTTTTTCCGCATCTATCGAGATGATCATATGGTTCTTATTTTTAAGTCTATTGATGTGGTGAATAACATTTATTGATTTCCGTATATTGAACCAGCCTTGCATCCCAGGGATGAATCCTACTTGATCATGGTGTACAATTTTTTTGATATGTTTTTGTATCCGATTCGCCAGAATTTTATTGAGGATTTTTGCATCTAGGTTCATTAGAGATATTGGTCTGTAGTTTTCTTTCTTTGAAGTGTCTTTGTCTGGTTTAGGTATCAGGGTGATGTTGGCCTCATAGAATGAATTTGGAAGTTCTCCCTCCTTTTCTATTTCCTGAAGTAGCTTGAAAAGTATTGGTATTAGTTCTTCTTTAAAGGTTTTGTAAAATTCTGCTGTATACCCATCCGGACCTGGGCTTTTCTTAGTTGGTAGTCTTTTGATGGTTTCTTCTATTTCCTCAATTGATATTGGTCTGTTTAGGTTTTCTATATCCTCCTGACTCAATCTGGGCAGATCATATGACTTAAGAAATTTATCTATGCCTTCACTATCTTCTAATTTGTTGGAGTATAAGGATTCAAAATAGTTTTTGATTATCTTCTGTATTTCTGAAGTGTCTGTTGTGATATTGCCTTTTTCATCCCGTATGCTAGTAATTTGAGTTCTCTCTCTTCTTCTCTTCGCTAGCATCGCTAAGGGTCTGTCGATTTTGTTTATTTTTTCAAAGAACCAACTTTTAGTTTTGTCAATTTTTTCAATTGTTTCTTTTGTTTCGATTTCATTAATTTCAGCTCTGATTTTAATTATTTCTTGCCTTCTACTTCTTTTGCTGTTGTTTTGCTCTTCTTTTTCAAGGATTTTGAGATGAAGTATGAGATCATTTATTTGTTGGTTTTTTCTTTTTTTAAGGAATGAACTCCAAGCAATGAATTTTCCTCTTAGAACTGCTTTCAATGTGTCCCATAGATTCCGATATGTTGTGTCTGTTTTCATTAATCTCTAAGAATTTTTTAATTTCCTCCTTGATGTCTTCTATAACCCATTGATCATTCAGTAACCTATTGTTCATTCTCCAAGTGATGTATGCTTTTTCCTTCCTTCTTTTATCGTTGATTTTCAGTTTCATTCCATTATGATCAGATAAGATGCATGGTATTATCTCTACTCCTTTATATTGTCTAAGAGTTGCCCTGTGACATAATATATGATCTATTTTTGAGAAGGATCCATGTGCTGCTGAGAAAAAAGTGTAACTGCTTGATGTTGGGTGGTATACT